TCTCCATTTAAAATGGCCACTTTGTAAACTTGGACAAGGGATGTCAAACTGGTAGCATAGTTCTCATCTGCTTCATTACCATTTATCTGCCATAGATTATTAACATACCACTGTAATGCTAGGAATATATATGATCGATAATGTACATTTATGATGGAAAGTTGTGTGTGAGCGCACACGCGTGTAATACAGAGTACATAATTTATGAACCATGTTTGTGTGCATGTGTTATAAGGAGTATATAATTTATGGACAACTGAGCTAAAAGAGTCTTTATTGACAATATTTTAGTTTCAGGCACATAATAGAACATTAAACCTCTCTTGCTTCTAACTTTCTGTGAAGTTTTGGGCACTAAATGCAAAAATGCATCTAGGGTCTAACAAAAACAATCCCTCCTCTGTCTTTATAGGGTAAAATCACGTGCATCTTGACTTCTTGACCACCTAGGCTACAACAAAGTTGGGATTATATTGAGTTGTTGTTTTTACTTTTTCTTCAACAAAAAAAAAATCTAAAACATACATTTTCATATTTCAACCTTTATGCCAACTCAAGCTCTGTACAGTTAATTGGAACACAACAAAAATAATACTTCCTCCATCCATCTTAGTTGCGACCCATGTTTGTTGATGGACTACTTTGACAATTAATATATTTCATTACATATTAGTAAAGAATATAAAAGGGTAAACCTAAGACAACTTAGAAGGAGGTGGTTAGCCTAGACATGACCTTAGACTTTTGGCCCTTACTGAGGATATGACCTCAAATAAGAGTGTTTGGGGAGATAGGATTAGGATAGTTGAGTAGCCTTTTGGGTATGGTGGTAGTTTTCGTGCTTGATCGCCTTGAAAATGTGTGCTTTATATGCTCGGTGTTTCTTGCCTTTTTCTATCTTTGGCCTGTTCTATGCTTCTTTCTCCGTGCTCTATGCTTTTTGTGTTACTCAAGTTGGGGGTCTCTCAAAAATAGTCTCTCTACTTTTCCGAGTAAGGGTAACTAGTAAGTTCTGCGTACACCCACCCTCCCCACACCCTACTTCCACGGGATTCTACTGGGTTGTTGTTGTTGTTGATATCATGAAAATACACAACAAGAAATATTTGACAATATCTTACATGATAGAATTTTTTTATACAATCAAAGTAGCACCAATAGGTGAATTACTTATTGATCTGTAATATGGAAGGGCTTAAAGGGTAGAGAAAAAAGAAAACAAATAATTAGAAGTTGTAATGATGAAAATAGGAAGTGACCATTACAACTTCATCTATATAAGGGCTTAAGCATTACTAGCAAATGAAAAGGTAAGGGAAACAAGTTCACACTAACAAATTGATCATCCCAAAATCGTTGATCACAAGTTTTCTAGTAAAAAAAAACTAACAAATTGGACACAGGTCGAGAGAAACAACTAGACATCTTCACACTAATTTGATGATGATGAAATTAAAAAATAATAAAAATATGAAACATCACAAAGAAGAAAATGAGAAAGTACTTGGGGAGCAGAGTCTTGGGCAGTAAGGGAAGCTCTGGGCGAGGAACGCCGGGAATTCCTGAAGATGATTTGATTGCGATTATAATCTCCGGCGAGGGGTGAAATTGTGGCACGGATGGGTCTATAGAGATGGAAATGGCCGTAATGAGCCTGAATTTGAAGTGATTTGGAAGCTCCCGAGGAAGAAGAGGAAGACGGGTGAAGAGGATACCAAGAGGTAGAAAGACCAGCTGCCATTTTGGCTGAGACTTGGCCTTCGCGTGCAATTAATCACCGAATTCTCTGTAGCTCAGTAGGATGTGCTAGGGCGTAGGGGCCGACTACGTGGGCAAAAAAAATAGAACAAATATCTCAAATAATTACTCCCTCCGTCCTAAAATGTTCTTCCCACTCACTTTTTACCCGGTCAAACTTTAATCATTTTTTTATCTATTTTCATTAGGTATTTGATAAAATAATATAATCTTGTCACCACTTGTTTTGTAGAACTTTTGATGTAGTTTTTAAGTATATAAATTTTATTTTTTAATTTTATACCTACAATCAAATAAATTGAATTGAAAATAAAGTCGGTCAAACCTCGTAAAATAAACCGGGAAGAACATTATAGGACGGAGGGAGTAAAATATAACAAATATTTAAAATCAATTATCACGGACTGAATCGTGCAAAGTTATATACGGAATATCTCAAATAATTACTTCCTCCGTCCTATATCTTTCTTTCTGGTTCGCAAAATGAAGAAAAATCCCAAGTTTTTTCAATCTATTTTATTTAAATATTGGTATAGAAATAAAAAATAAAACATACATATTTAAAAACTACACCAAAAGTTCAACAAAACAAGTGGTGACAAGAATATTTTATTTTATCATATAGGCCATGAAAAAACACAAATAAATATAAATTCTCGTGAATTTGGAATAGTGCTCTGGGAAGATCATTATAGGACGGAGGGAGTATTTATCTACTTCATTTAACCATATATGAAGTCATTCGTATTGTATTATTCATTTTTAAAATTGTTTCTTTATTATTGTTAATCTTATATTTATTACCTACTATTGTATTTATTGAAAAAAAATTATTTTTAAAATTTGAACTCGCTATCTTTTATTTTTTATGTTTATAATCCTTTTAAATTCGAAATCAATATTTCTATTTAACAAAGTTGTTCTTTTTAAATACAAAATTATGTTTTTATTTTAATATTTTTTGAGTGATGCATGTTCATTTCTTTTGGCACAGTTTGAGTATGGGTATGGTACCGAGTGGCTTTGAGGTTCATACCTTACTGATATCATGCCGTTTAAATAAGAATAGTCCGTGATAGGTAAACCAGATCCTAGACTTAGGTATCCAGTTTGCCCGTAAATGACCGCCCGTAAAATAGCGGGCTTGCGCTTGACATTTTAGGGTATGGGCCAGACTTGGGCTGTAACACCCTAATTCGTCCAGATCTGTAGCCTCTTTCGAACTAAAATATTAACTTGGTAATCGTAAAATTTAAAACATTTCAAATATTTTTATTCATCATAAATAATAATCATAACATAAACAGTGACAGAGTTTTCAATGTTGCTAAAACTTTAACTCCATAATCACAAAACATAATTAATTTATGTCTTTTGAAATAATAAATTAAAATCATCACATAGTCTAGTAAATCAAAAGCGACAATTGAAAGAGACGAGGATGAAGTCACTAATAGAGAATAGAAAAAGAAAGATAAAGAAAATGAAAACTTAAGTCTTTGGTTTGAGAAATGAGCAAGTTTTTTTAAGGATAATGATAGTCTAAATTTACGTTCGGTTTTCTCATGGTGATCTTCTTATGACATAAATTTATGTTTTTTTAAGGATAATGATAATCAATACATCCGCCTTTGTTGGTGCTCGAACCTGGGTGAACTTCTTTATAAATCTTAGGAAGCTTCTACAACTTAATAGTAATTTGATAAAATAAAGTACTATTGTCACTACTAGTTTTGTAAATCTTTCGATATAGTATTTTACTACCTCCGTCCCACTCTTTTTGTCCAGTTTTGACTTTTGGAATTGTTCATCTAAGCATTTTGACTCATCAAATTCTCTCAATGTGTAAGTCTAAAAATAGTCATGTGTGATCTTGTTTGATTTGTCTTAACATATAGATTATTAATATATAATTTTTATAATTTTTTAATATACAAATTACAAGATAAAATGGATTAAAGAAGTGCATTGGATGGTGTGCAAAAATGAAAGTGGACAAAAAGAGTGGGACGGAGGGAGTAATATGTAATTTTTATTTTTTAACTATATACTATTTGTCATATAAAATGATTTGAAAAAAGTTTCAATCAAACAACATCATAAACCGAANNATTGTCACTACTAGTTTTGTAAATCTTTCGATATAGTATTTTACTACCTCCGTCCCACTCTTTTTGTCCAGTTTTGACTTTTGGAATTGTTCATCTAAGCATTTTGACTCATCAAATTCTCTCAATGTGTAAGTCTAAAAATAGTCATGTGTGATCTTGTTTGATTTGTCTTAACATATAGATTATTAATATATAATTTTTATAATTTTTTAATATACAAATTACAAGATAAAATGGATTAAAGAAGTGCATTGGATGGTGTGCAAAAATGAAAGTGGACAAAAAGAGTGGGACGGAGGGAGTAATATGTAATTTTTATTTTTTAACTATATACTATTTGTCATATAAAATGATTTGAAAAAAGTTTCAATCAAACAACATCATAAACCGAAACAAGCACTATAGATAGAGACTGAGGGAGTAAAATATATGAATGTTCATATCGAATAAAAATAAAAATTCAAATGATGGATTTTATTCCAAATAAAAATTCCAAATTTTCATCACAATAGACTCCATTAATTAAATATGCAACTAAAATATAATCCAACGTTAATATTTGTTGACAACAATAAAATGAAGATAAATTTAAATGAAGTGATATTAATATGTAGAGTGGGAGATTTAATGGATAGGTAGAAACCATCAATTGAACACAGTACCGGGGTGCTCCAAAAACGTAGTAGCCACTTGTTGGCAGTTATATATTGACATAACTGCATCCCCTATGGTACTTCAGAAATGATAATCACACCCCACCCAAAAAGTAGAAATAAGAGTACAATGATCACCTTTTTTTTCTTCTATGGTTTATGTATTAGAAATATCCCAATAGTTAATGGGGTGGTGCTAGAGGGGCTCCCAGAATTGCACATCAAGTACACACCAAGACAAAAAACAGACGCGCAAAATACTCGATGTCTATTAACGCACAGACATTGAGTGTCTTTGTGTGTCTGCATTTGCTAAATAAAAAGTATAAATTACACCAATCAAATGTACATAAAAAGTTTTATCAAATAAGAGATTACAAGTCCATAAAAAGCATAAATTAGACCTCAAACATTAAAAACCGAGGATGTCAAAAGCCCCGACCCCCCCCCCCCCCACACACACACACATAAAAAACAAATATTTCACCAATGTACTGCTGGAAGTGATCGCTAGTATGGGGGCCAACAATATTCACATAACAGATAGTACTTCTTCAGTCATCAGACTATATGCAACTTAAAAGAGCTTTTGAGAATTCTTGGAATGAAAAGTCTCACATATTCATCCACTCATCACTATATGCTTCTCACCCCCTTGCTTTTAGTTCACATGAAAACACATATACACATACAATCATTTTTTTTTGCCCCCCCCCCCCAAGGACCAACTTCTGCACAATACTCTCAGGCTCTAGCTTCCAGCCATACTCTTAAACGTGTTCGTTAACTTTTGGTCTGTTACTCCGAGTGCGATGTCCAATAAATCAGCCCGCTGCAAAAAAAAAAACAAGATGATGAAATATATTATGCATATACTAACATAATATTTTGAAGAACCAATTCAATTTAACTGTTGCCTCCCTGAATTTTAGGGCATGTTTGGATCCGGGAGAAGGCTAGGGGGGAGGGAAATTATTTTCTTATATTTGGGTTTTACTAGCTTGTTCCAATGATGCAAAAAAAAAATTGTTGGTTGAAAGCACCAGTGAAAAAATAATACAACTCTAGAATTTCAGAAAGCAAAGGGGAATGGGAAAACAAAGGAAAATACGACTGACAAAAATGTGTTCAAGCATTAGATAGGTAACCTGATCAAGACGAAAACACATTGCAGGACACCTGCAACTCCCGTCCAAGCTGAAGGCCCACTTTCCACAAGCGCATCTTGTATCAAAAGACCAACCGAGGCAGCCAAAGAAACAAATGACACAACATACGCAACGAAAAGCCATAACTTCAATCTGCATTTTCAACACTGAAGCTAGTTCAATTATTAGACAAAAAACAAATGATACAGATCAAGGTTCTAAAAAGGTCCCTATTAGAGCTTGCCTTGGGCTGGGTGGTCAAAAATGGAGATGGGGTGGATTACTCAATGCAAAGTTGGGACTGTTTGGAGCTAATGCCCAGGCTTTCCTTCCAGGGACTTGTGCCCACCCCCCCCCTGCTTTTGGGAAATTTCAGCCCAGGATTTTAAAAAACATTTTTAGTATTAAAAGTGCTAAAGCTTAGCTCATGTATTAGTATTTTCAAACTCAGTCACAATTGCAATTCATACTCTCTCCGTCCTATAAAAAGAGTTACGTTTCACAACTGTACAACTTTTAAATTTTAAGGTACAAGTGTACAACTATTACAAATATAGCTATGTTTTAAATTAATTTAGTTATTTACATGTAGTACACTCAACTTGTTGAGTTCGATTATCAGTTCGATTTTTATTTAACATATCTAAACATTACAAAATTGTTCAAATAAGAAATCTTTTTGGAACAAAAAAGTTTTTAATCATTGACTCTTGTTTTTTCGGGGACGGAAGGAGTATAACATGGTAAAACCATGAATATACCAATAAAAGATGGAATAAAGTAACATGCTTTAACTCAGGAAGCTGACGCAGTTCGATTATCAGTATTTGCATTAATTGAAAGTCTGAAACCACACCCATATTTTATACATTAGTTTTATACTTTTAAGGCAGTAATTACGCATTAGCTGTGTTACTTATTTATGGGATATGCCAAAGCAAGTTGCACTATTCTTTTTCCTACACTAGAAAATTTAGCTGGGAACACTTCATCTTTGAGTTTAATTCCCAAGTCAATATTAGAACATGTTCTTTCTTTTCCTGAAAACATGTAGTCTTATTTGTGTTTCTAAATATATGGTACATTTGATCATCTTCTAATTGTATCTGATCTAGATGTCTCAACCTTTTTAAGATGACATGTTCTGAACCTTTTAAATCTGAACCTAGTTTGGCCTGTGAATGTTTATCATCTAATTTAATTTTCTTGTCCGAAATAACCTAAATAGAGCAATAATAAGTAATAAACAAATAGAAATAAGGTGAAAAAAATGAACTGTAATCATGTTCATTAAATAACTTAATTTCCTTTTATATGTATTTAGATTTTAGAGTCTAGAACTTGCAAGGATGACACATAGTCAAAGAGTGGTGGAAGAGGAAATCCTACCTCCAGCCCAAACTGAACATCAATGCCCATGTTTCACCACTACTGGCATTACTAATACAATTATATACTGCTGTGTGTGTGTGAGTGTGTTTCCTTGGAAATTTGAATTTAATCTTCACTCTGAGACAGTGGGATTAGTATTGAAGGACCTTCATATGGTGTTCATTGATCTTGAGAAGGCGTACGATAGGGTGTCAAGGGAGGTCTTATGGAGGTGCCTTGAGACGAGAGGAGTTCCCATCGCGTACACTCGCGCGATCAAGGATATGTACGATGGGGCTATGACTAGGGTAAGGACCTTCGGGGGCGACTCTGAGTCATTCTCGGTAGGGATGGGGTTGCACCAAGGGTCTGCCCTTAGCCCTTTTTTGTTCGCCTTGGTGATGGACGTCCTAACTCAAGGTGTGCAAGAAGGGGTCCCATGGTGCATGCTTTTTGCGGATGATATTGTGCTTATCGACGATACACGTGAGGGACTAAACGATAAGTTGGAACGATGGCGCCTTGCCCTTAAGACTAAAGGGTTCAGAATAAGTAGGAACAAGACTGAATACATGGAGTGTCGTTTCAGCGGCAGGGAAACAGAATCAGAGGTGGAAGTTAGGATTGACTCTCACCTAGTACCTAAGGTAGACAGGTTTCGATATCTTGGCTCGGTAATCCAGGCTGATAGGGAGTTAGACGGGGATGTTGGACATCGTGTTGGAGTGGCTTGGGCCAAATGGCGGTTGGCTTCAGGGGTATTGTGTGACCCGAAGATTTCGCCCAGGATGAAAGGCAAGTTCTACCGATCCGTAGTCAGACCTGCTATGTTATATGGGGCAGAGTGTTGGGCGGTTAAGAAGACTCATGTGCGTCGTCTGCAAGCGGCGGAGATGCGGATGTTACGATGGATGTGTGGGAAGACAAGGTTGGATAGGATTTCGAACGAAGTTATCCGACGTCAGGTAGGCATGGCGCCGGTGGAAGATAAATTGCGGGAAGCGAGGTTGAGATGGTTTGGTCATGTGAGACGGCGGGATGCTGACGCCCCTGTACGGAGATGNGGTTAAGAAGACTCATGTGCGTCGTCTGCATGCGGCGGAGATGCGGATGTTACGATGGATGTGTGGGAAGACAAGGTTGGATAGGATTTCGAACGAAGTTATCCGACGTCAGGTAGGCATGGCGCCGGTGGAAGATAAATTGCGGGAAGCGAGGTTGAGATGGTTTGGTCATGTGAGACGGCGGGATGCTGACGTCCCTGTACGGAGATGTGAGTGGATTACGGTTATCGAGGGAAGTAGGGGAAGGGGTAGACCTAAGAAGAATTGGAAGGAGGTGATTAGACATGATTTGGGACTTCTCACCCTGACTGAGGATATGGCTTTAGATAGGAACCTTTGGAGAACTAGGATTAGAGTAGCTGGTTAGGAACTCGGTGCTACAGAGGTTTTTTGTAGTGTGTTGTGTTTGATTGGAATCTTCTATTAATGTTTGTAGAACATTCTTTTCATTGTACTTGGTATTTTACCCATGCTATACTGTGTACCCTATCATTTTTTTTGTGCAGGTTGAGCTGGGGGTCTCTTGGAAACAGCCTCCCTGCTTCCGAGTAGGGGCAAGGTCTGCGTACACACACCCTCCCCAGACCCTACTGTAGTGGGATCCAACTGGGTTGTTGCTGTTGTTGTATGCCCAGTCTGACTATGTACACCGCTACACCCCACTGCATGATAAAAAAATCATCCTTGGGGCTCATTTGGGGTTTTGAAACCTTGATTAAGATAAATACCATGAAGTTGTGAAGTGTTTAGAATAGAACTAGTATAATTTAAGTATTAATGTATTGAAAAGCACATAGTTAAAAGTTTATAGACCAAGAGCCACCTAAGCATTTTTCATGCATACAAGTTATGAGCATTGAAGGGAAAAAAGGAAACACGATAATATAAATGTTGCAAATGCACTTATTGTTTAATAAAAACCATATACGTAGCAAGCTCAATCATTAAATTACTAAAAATACATTATAGGTATTCTTCTTAAACAAAATGGTTCAACTACTTCAAAATTCAAATATTTAAAAATTTATGCCGACTTCAAGAAAATTATGCACATCTAAAACACGAAACAAAAACCCATCTATAACAGCTTGATCATTTAAACACCGCAGTAATACAATCAAGATTAAGAATTACAAGTAAAAAGGTTGAGGATATTATTGTTTGAGTTAAAGGACTTTATATTATGAATATAATAAAGTTTAAGTGTCTAACATATTGCTCACTATTCATGTGTAACTCATTAGCTTAGAGTGCCCATTTAATAAGTTAGAGATCTTGTGTTCAATCCACAGAAAGTGCAACTTGAAAACATATTTGAAATTCTCTTTCTCAACTCCTATATATACTTCTTTGCAAGTAATTGTGTAATTTGTATATGAACGAATGGGTTGGAGGCACCCTGTTGGTACATTTTTGGAATCTAAATTTTTTCCCTCATTAGGAATACAAAGATGGGCATGCACATGTGTACAAAATGAAGAAGTCATTTGGTGTGGGTTGGAGCAAGTGAGTACATGTGAAAAAACTTGTTATAAGGGGTTATCACTACATTCTACATTGATTCATTTTTGTAGACTTGTTGTCTTCGGCACAACAACGTATTCCCACCACAGGTGGGGACTTATTGTCTTCAGCATTTTGCATAGATGAGAAAGGCATGCCAGAGGCACAATGAGCATGAGGCATATAAGATTGGGCATCATGCTCTGTGATGCGGGCAATGTCCCTAATGCGTGCACATACTTGCGCATCTTCAAATTAGGCAATGCTCCTCATGCGTGGGAGAGGCGCACCTCACAAACATTGACATTTTCATTTGAATTTTAAAAATTAGGGTTAAGCTATTAAAATGTCATAGCATACACGACTCCTAGACAATCTTGAAGAACCCCACTACACCTTTTTCTAATTTGACACACCATCGCAACAACAATTGTAGAGATTCATAGCAACAGTCTGGTCGCATGATTCCTGCTTGAGTCGCTAAGTCATGTCAAACTGTTTGAGTTCTTTCTTCTTTCTTCATTGTAGGCTTCCTCTTTTTCTTCTTCCTTGTAATAGTGGCATACATGCATGTAGGCTTTCATATTCTTTCCTCAGTTTTTCAGATTTTTCATATAATCACACATGTAATTAAGTTATACTCTTTACTTTAAAAACAATGTACATACTTAAGGCTACACTGAAGGATATATAACTCACAAGATTTGTCAAGTAGTAAATACTATATAGTGAAAAGTAAACAAGATCCAAGTGGCGAAAAAAATATTCAACATTAGGTTTTGGAGGAATGTTCTCTATAATATACTCTCTATTGGTTTGTGTTTTAAGATTAGTAGATGGAGAACGAAGGCCGGAAGACGATGCACCAGATTTCATTGACCCTATTGATTGATTTATATTGATGAAAGCAATGAATGGTTTACGAGAGAGATGTAAGGAGAGAAAAATGGCTTGGTCTTTGAAAAATGGCTAGTGGAGATGATAACCTGCATATTTAAATAAATAAATAAATAAAACAAGCCCTAACAATCACATCAAGCTCCAATTTAAGCGCTAGGCTTACTAGTGTGGATAAAGGAAAAATGCCAAGAGGAAAGGGACAAACACCGATGAAGAAGGGAAGGAAGACGACACCCCTTTTGAGACTTATTGATGAAGATGAAGAATTGGTGTTTGATGAAGGTGACGAGGTTAAAGATGCTCCCAAATAAGAATATAATGAAGATGAAGTGCTTGACGGAGAAAGAGATTGACTTTCCAAGTTCCAACCTTGGTGTTTGATGATGGTGATGAGGTTAAAGATGCTCCCAAATAAGAATATAATGAAGATGGAGTGCTTGACGGAGAAAGAGATTGACTTTCCAGCCTTGCTGAGGATGAAGACATTTAAGGCTTAACCTATTGTTTGCCCTTCGACACATCATCTATTTGTCTCTTATCTCTAATGTTCCATATTCCGCCATCCACAATCCACATAGTGAAATAAGCACAAAACACAAACTATAATTTACCACACATTTCTAGTCCCAAACACCTCCATTGTAGTAGCCACCAACTATTCAAAAGTCATAGCTAAATGAAGCATTTTAGAATTAAAATTACTGTGAATAGAATACTAAACTTCAAAATTAGTAACAATTAAACAATAGATATATAAATATCTAAAATACGATGCAAGGTATAAGAATGAAGATGAAAATATAATGAGAGTACCTCCATTCGCCTTCATCATAAGGAGAGTAATCGATATCCTCTTTTCTCACGCAGTTGAACATCAAGGCAGCTAGAGATGCGAATATCCCTGCAGAGATCAATTAAATTTGGAAACGTAAGAGTCATGCAGAAACCCTAATGCCAGAAATATATGCGATCAAGCGGGGGTTACGCGATACCGGGGAGGTAGTGGAGGAAGGAGACTTTGACTGCGCTGCACACGACGGCGTCCACCCAGAACCACCACCCGGCTCCGAACACGGCGCCGGCAACTCCTGGCCCAAAGATCGCACACAGCTCCCCAAATTCCATTTACTTCAAAATTTCCCTCTAACCTTGTGTCAGTTTTCTCCAAAGTATAGTTCGCAACCGATCAGATAATCAAAGGAGACGGTGTAATTCGATCGATTCGAGTTCGTTCGCTGTCAGGGCGACGTGCTACTTTATTTACTCTCTTCTTCAGTGTAAAGATTGATTGCTAGAGCTTCTTTCACTCCAGCCCCGCATATTTAGATAAAGCCGGACTCCTTTTTTTTCAAATTAAAAGTTTTAAATACTTAAATTCGTATTAATACTTACATTTCAGAAAATTACTCACGGGTGACGCGAGTTTAGTTGAAATAACTCTCAGATCCCTCTATTTCCAAAAAGACAGCAGAGGTCCTTACATTTTGTTGTAATGACTCGAAGGGGACATTTCATCCAATATTTCATCTATAAACGTTAATAAATGTATTTTTTTCCTATTCTTTTCTAAATGTTTTAAGGTAATAAATCTTAGGTCGCTCTTTTTTTTATTTCTTTGTTTTTCTTTCATTTTGTTACTATTTTTTTAAAGTGTTATTTTAGAATTTCTTCTATAAAATCGTATAAAAATTCAAAATTGTTTGTATTATATTAAAACAAATGAAATAAAAAAATTTTAAAAAAAGAAAAAACAAGGTAATGGCAAAACAGGAAAAAAAAGTATTGGAAAAATAGGAAAAAAATTCATTTATTAACACTTACGGATGATGTATTGGATGAAATGTCCTCTCTCAGTCATTACAACAAAATATAAGGACCTTGGTTGTCTTTTTGAAAATAGAAGGACCTGAAAGTTATTTCTACAAAACTTGCGTCACCCGCGAGTAATTTTCTGCTTACATTGTGCATATAAATGATATATTGAAGCTATTATTATATTCTAATTTTATTACTTTTTAGACATTTTTAAAAATATTGTGAATAATATAAATAAATAAATACGGAGTAAAACCAATTTTGAAAAAATATAAAATAACTACGTGACATAATTAAAAATTTTATTTGGAAATATAAATTTATCAACTAAAAATAAGTAATTAAAAATTGAGGTGATATTGCTCGAGAAATAAGTAATGTGTTCCTCTAGTCTCGAGAAATATTGCTCGATCACATATTTCTGTCAGGAACACTTTCGACACAAGACATCACATGTAAATTTCCATTCTATGAGACTAGAGATCTTATCTTGTCTTGTTTTTGTTGGCAGAAAATTACTCGCAGGTGACGCGAGTTTTGTGGAAATAACTTTCAGGTCCTTCTATTTTCAAAAAGACAACCAAGGTCCTTATATTTTGTTGTAATGACTGAGAGAGGACATTTCATCCAATACATCATCCGTAAGTGTTAATAAATGAATTTTTTTCCTATTTTTCCAATACTTTTTTTTCCTATTTTGCCATTACCTTGTTTTTTCTTTTTTTAAAATTTTTTTATTTCATTTGTTTTAATATAATACAAACAATTTTGAATTTTTATACCTAAAATATCTTCTTTAAGATTTTATTGTGAAATTTTTTTATCATTGTTTTACTTTCTTTTTGTTTCTTTATTTTTTTTCTCGCTGGATTCTAAATAATGGAATTTTGTAAATCTTTTCTTATCCTTTTTTTATGTAAATAATTGCAAATATCTACTTTATAACCTACTTTACAGGGGAAGGTCAGTAATGTTGTTTTAGTAAGGACCTCTGCTGTCTTTTTGGAAATAGAGGGATCTGAGAGTTATTTCAACAAAACTCGCGTCACCCGTGAGTAATTTTCTGTTTTGTTGGTACACCGAGAATTCCGCACAACACAAAGCAATATCTGACACTCCTCCGGCCATATACGTGTTAGCACATTATATACCAAGAGCTTTGCACACCACAAGGCAACATCTGCTAATCTCCTCCAATCCTATTCGTGTTACCACATTGTATACCATGAACTCTGCACAACACAAAACACCATACTTAAATCTCCTTTGGTCTCATATCCCGTTGATACACCATCACACTAAGAATTCCACACGACGCGGTCCACATCTTTTGCTCCTTCAAAATTTGGGCTTTGATAACGACCTCAAACAAGAGAACCTCCCTAGATTCTTCTGTCACAAATTTTACTTTAATAAAGTGTGCCCTTGTAAAATACGAGAGTATTAAGTGTGTCCATGTAAAATATGATAGAGGATGATATAATCACTCAATATGATAGAGTATGATATAATCACTCATGAGTCTACTCTTGAGTGGAATGTACGGAGTACTTAACATGATTTTTAAATTGATTTTTGAAATATACTCTGTTCATTCGGCTTGGTTTATATTGCAAGGGAATACGGAAATAAGAAAGTCTGATTATTCCAAAAGCCCAACTCTGTGGAATTCATTTGGCATAATGGGATGAACCAAGGAAATTCATTCTGGCAAAAAAAAAGGTGACACAAATCCAACTTATGACTAACACTATTTTTGGTTCAAGGAATTTGCAAGAGAAAAGAAAAGAAAATGAATAAAAAACAATTTTTCTTGTTTGGTTAGAGAGAAAAAGAAGTAGAAGGAAAAGAAAATGAAAAGACAAAATATACCAAGAGGGAAAATCAAATTCTTCTCATTTTGGGGAGAAAAATGAAAAAAAAAATCTTTTTTTTCTTTTCCCTACAAATTCCATGAGCCAAACATAATGCAAGTGGTAGAGAAAATATATCAAAATACGTTTGCCCATTGTACATTATAACTGTCATTAACCTTTGTTTGGTTCAAGAAAAATTGGAAAGAAAGGAAAAGAATCTTTTCATTTTCTTTTTTTCTAACTTTTCTTTTCCCTCCAACCAAACATAAAAAATTGAGTTTCATCTCATTTTCTTCACTCTCAAATTTCTTCAACCAAACATAGTAGAAGTGTTATCCTCCAATCCCTTTTACCCATATCAACTACTACAGCAAAAGTTATCTACTCCCAGCATTGTTGGAGTTTAGGGTCAAAATGTACACCAGGCATGTACAACAAAAAACATTGTCGAAGAAGCAAAAGAAGTTTCAATGCAACAATTTTGGTTTAATCTATTCTTTACTCAAAACTAAAAGATACTAACATTGTCAATAACTCCAAAGGCAATGGAAAAACACTCATTAGCTAATGCAAGGGTATAATTATATTTACTTTCGAAGGTTGCCCTCTACCATTTGTCACACCAAGAATGTAACGTTTGATCATAACGTTACATTCTTGGTACGACAAATGGTAGACGGGTGCGGGGCACCCGGGGGAACGATTTCGCCTTTTGGATTGCGTCGACAAGGGCTGCTTCAAAGCGAGTATAGAGCTTCAAAAGCCACCTCCCTCTAAGAACCATCAACTTGAGCAGCAAAAGCAATGCCCTTGGAGAGTAAAAACATACCCACATTGAAAGGAGTGAGTCCAACAAGTAGAAACTATTCATATGTGGTTGTTTCACATTCCAGAGTACATAATCACACGGTTTCTAACTTCTCTTCTTACACAATAAGTTGATGGCACACTCTCAATTCTAATAGTGTTGTGGTGCTCTACATGCACGATACACAAGAAAGCAAAAACTCAATCAACCGTGATCACAAACTTAAATTAAAAATAAATAAGTTACAGATCTACGATCTGATTTTTGCACTAATTGATTTGACTGTAAGTTAGCATTGTGCGTATATATACACATTGTGGGCTTTACAACCTTTCTAACTGGTGTACACAAATTACCTGCTGCTGCTGCTGTTGCTGCATTCCACACAATTAAACTCAATCTTGGTGAGTTCGTGCACTCCTTGGCATGGGGTAATACTGAGCTCGTAAATATGAATAATAATTGATACAAGAATATTACCGGAACAACCATCATTGGTGTATAGATAGAATGCAGAGTGGGCAACGGACCATTCCAGCTTCTTCTTTTCCCCGATGATGGTCCCACATGCCCCACAAGAGATGGGTGCCCTACTCATTGGGTGTAAGCAGGAAGGATATTAAATTTACCCATTGTCATGTTCCATGGGGTGGTGGTTCCTGAGGACATGTGTCTGGAACAGCATCCTTTGAAAGGCGTTGGAGGGGAACATAGACATACCCTTTTGGTAATCGCTGGTTCTTCATAGACGCTTGATCAGATGTCATTACCATCTCTTTTTGAAAACTTTCCACGTGCTGTTTTTTTTCAAGGCAAATTCAATATTTTTAGATTTAAAAAAAACATATAGAGAAGAGTTCAGAATATATAGAAGAGTCGCTTGGGGACTTGGGGTGATAAGACAAGTACCTTTCTGTAACTCAGCCGCTTATCCTCGTCCTCTAGAGGGTTCCTTGCTGAAATATGTCTCAACGGAATCTGCTTTCCAGCCGAGGTTATTCTCTCTGTTTGTTTGTGTGTCAAGAAGATAGGAGACGTAGGGCTATCATCAGTCTTTTGGTCCTTATCCATCCATACAGGGAACTTGCCCCGTCTTTTACCAGCAATTGCACTGTCAACAGTGATATCATCTGACCTCTGGACGGTTTCACTGCCAGATCTACATCCATCTGTGTATCCTCTCATGGATGTGGTAGTTGCTGAATCCGAACTTTGAGAGAAAGAGTGGCGAGAAAGGGCAGATAAAGCAACTGTTTCTCTCCTGGAGGCAAGAACCTCATGGGAACAAAACACCATTTCACGCTGAAAGATGAGCCAAAAAATTACAATCCCCACAATTAAACAATATGTGAACAACAAGCATACACCATGATATGCCTGGTTAGGAGTCTGACATGACAGCAAGAGATTTTGAGGGTTATACACCAAGATTTTATCAAAAGTAGAACAAAAGAAATCATAAAAGTGCAACTGATTAAAAGATAGACAATGAAACAGGATCTATATATTGAGATTATTTAAATGAACATTATACATTGGCTAACACTCAAGCTTTTAATGAGGATGGCATATAAGGTGGTATCCAATATCCTCAAAATACCACCATATGCATGTGCTAGGTTCTTATGATCCTAATGATCATATGGATATATTTTAACTACAGTGCACCATTAATATTTGCGACACAAATATGAAAATATCTTTTCAAGACAGCTCTCTACACTTCTTTTCCATACAAATGAGATAAATGTCAATTAAATATAATTGAGCCAGATTGAAGATTTACTACATTGACACATTTCATGATAGCATGTTGATTTACAATATATATCTAGTGATGGGACTGTTATAACCACTTTCTTAAATTATTGTTAGTGCATGATATTCTCCATAAAAGTGGAAAACAACCATCATGATACGGAGTATTAACATATTTGTGACACAAATATTAAAATTGATTTACATATAGATTTACAATATAAATCCAGTGATGGGACTTCAATAACACCCTAGTTGGATCCCACAACAGTAGGGTCTGGGAGAGAGTGTATGCAGAGATCCCCTACTCAAAAGTAGAGAGGAGGTTTCCAAGAGACCCCCAGCTCGAGTAAATGGGACTGCTATAACCACTCTTAAATCATTGCTATTTCAGATATTCTCCATACAAGTGGAAAACACCCATTGCCCCTATTTCATAATACTGTCTATATAAGTGGAAACCCCAAGATGAAAACATCTTATTCTTTCGTAAGGACAATATACAGGAAGGAAAGCTTAGCATTTATTCACCACTGAACCCAAAATAGTTGGGGATTAAGTCATCATGTGCAGTTTACCCAAAAGCAAATGCATCACATTGGCAAGATTTGCAGGCCAAACAAAACTCTCCAGCAAGAAGGGAGAAATATGCAGGGAAATTATCTCATTTTTACAATGAATGTTTGTATGCCCTAAGAGGTTTGTATGCAGCAAAATATTAAAAATAAGCAGTAATGAATTCACTGCAGATGTTTATTCATTCATGCAGAGATGAATAATATAATGGCAATGATGTTGAAGAAAAAAAATGGAGGCTTACTTTCAATTTTTCTCTTTTTATTATTCTTTCACAAAGCAAGCGTATTTTCTCCAAGTCAACCTGCATGGATGTGTTTCAAAGTATCAGAAACAATATCATGTATAGAATCTGCAAAGAAATGATTTCAAATATCTGCATATAAAAATAGCAACCGGGGGTCATAACATTGAGTTAGAAGCTGAAGCAACATTAATGACATACTCCCTGCATCCCACTAAACTTTCTCAAGTTCATGGTTTCGGATGCGACAATATACCATTAATATTTATATTTATAAATAAAAACAAATAAGAGATTTCATGTTCCAAAACTACTTTTCAAATATAAACATATATATTAATAAATTTATATATGTATATATATACACACATAATACACACACACATATGTGTGTGCGCGCGTGTGTATATAAACATATATATATATATACTCTTTATATACTTTATATGTGTCAAGGAACCAACTCAACCAAAAGCTCAAGCTTATGGTTGTGGCACAAGAACATTTATTTATATTCTAACACGCCCCCTCACGTGCAGGCATAGTCTTTTTCGAGCCTTGCACGTGAAACCTTAATTTTTTAAATTGGGTGGCGCTGAGTTTCGAACCCGCGACCTCTTAGTCAACGAGGCTCCGATACCATGTCAAGGAACCAACTCAACCAAAAGCTCAAGCTTATGGTTGTGGCACAGGAACATTTATTTATATTCTAACAATATGGATACTTAAACATAATATAACCACAAATAGATAGTACAACATATGTAATAAAAGTCTACACATGATCTCAGAAAAAGAAATAAGTGTTCACAAGCATTTAGAAGACCACAAATAACAAAGTAATGGACTTTGATTTAGCCATGTGGTCAGGATTCTCTAATGAATACTTTCTGCCATAATGGACTGTCAAAATTCAAAAATATATATACTTAAGAATGTTATCATAATAAACAATTGAATTTTCTAAAAAACAAAGTTATAATTAAATTGTTATTATAAATGGATTACAAATAGACTTGAAGAATGAAATATAAAATTAAAAAACAAAAAATAAATTTACTGTTAGTAGATTGTAAGGCAACGCGGCAACGCCTAGGCGTGAGGCTAAGGAAAGGCGACGCCTAGGCGAGTGCCTTAACGCCTAGAGGTTTTCTGGACGAGGCTGACAGACAAGGCATCAAAGGGATAGCCCTTCATCACCTAGGCGACGCCTTAACAACTATGGCGCAGAGTGCTTAAGGGAGTCACAGAAACTTCGGAAAAAGCTGCACTTCCAACCAAATGTGTTTCATGTGCTGGTATCAACTGATGATATCATCATAAATCTGGATGCAGTTGTTCATCTTTGGTCTTCACTATCCAGTATTTTCAAAACTCACACATCAACTGTAATTTCTAAGTCCTATTTGCAGATTAGGAAGCTTCTACCCAATTTTTTATTACACTCGGTTAATGTGGTATTTAAACAACAGCAAGATCAACAAACACTGAGATGAGACTTAATATGGTCAATTTTGTTCAAATATTTGTCTCTGATTCCATTTATTATGTTAGCTTTTCATTTTTGCCGGGCTCTTGTTGGGGTATATTTTTAAGGAATCATTTGTATTTTTGTTAATGCAGGACCATGCCTGTGAATCATAAAAACAGAGCCTGACAATATGGCATTTAAGTATAAGGTCTGTGGAATACAAGGGAAGAGTAACAAACTTCTAAATGCAAGTTTTTTTGAAGGGTTTCTATATGCAAGTATATTAAGAATAATCTCACAGGAACTCCAAGAAATACTAAACGGTTCGCACAATATCAATATTATAAAAAATGTCCCCTCAAACAGAAAGCATATTTGCAACAACACTTGTCAAAACTGTATCCGAATCGAGCACAAAGAAAATCAAAATATAAATGGACAATTTCCCTTTTAGAAAAGGACTATTTGGCCATGATGTTTGCAAACTAAATTCACCTATTTTCTAATTGCTTATGATTCAATTTGGGCTTCATAATGTCATTTTAAACCGATAGTGGATTAGTGATCAGTGATCACAACTTGGGATCAAACACCAGAATTTATGGATTTTATTGTAAGAATATTGAGCACAACATGTTCACCATCTAATTGTGAGCTTGGTTTGAAAAGGCACGAGGCGGAGGCACACTCATGCACTTTCATAGCTATCGTTTATCAAGGTGCCAGTGTTGCACCCCTAGTTGACTATGTGACCACCTAGGTGACAGATCATAAATGAGAATTATTACATTGGTAGCATTAATATAAAAATATCACATGCTGAGTAATATATTGCACTAAGAGTACTCTATAACCTTCAAGCTTCAAAAACATATTGCAACATTAAAAAGATTATCAAAAAACAACCATGTCGAATCCCACAAGGCTACAAGAGTAGGGTCTGGGGAGGGTGTGTTTGCAGACCTTACCCCTACTCAAAAGTTGAGAGGCTATTTCCAAAGAGACCCCCGGCTCAAGCACCAGAGGTAAATCACGTACGCAGACTGCAGTATGACACTATGACCCCTATGTTTAAAACATAGAGTGGTTGTTTCTAGATGACCCATGATGGGCGTCAAAAATATCAAAATTTATCAAAAAACATATTATAAAAATATCTTAATCTTAAAAAACAGATTTGCTCTTCAAAAATAAAAATAACAGATTTTAAAATGTCACTCCATGTTCTAGAAAGACATTCTTGTTATGGGTTAGAATGCTTGACCAAAGTTTTCAATTCATTTTATATGGATATTGGAGCAAATTTAAACACTTCAAATTACTACAATTAATGCAAATTACAAATATAAAACAATAAAACCGCTAGTCTTATGTTTATTAGACAAAAGAATCAGAGGACTGACGGAGACATAAATAATGCGATAATCTTTGAAAGAAAGGAAGATGGGCAAAAATTCAAAAAATAATACTATATCAATTATCAATACTAAAAAAAATATAGTGTAAAACCTTTGGTTACACCCTCAGCTAGCTGTGGTGAGGATGACAGATTGAGTTCCTATGTTTGCAGTCGTTCTTTTTGGAAGGAAGTATTAAACAACAATGTACTACAATTAATACAAATTACAAATACAGAACAATAAAATCGCTAGTTTTTTGTTTATAGACAACAGAATTTGAGGACAGAGGGGCACATAAATAATGTGATAATCTTTGAAAGAAAGGACAAAATGATAGAAAATTCAAATAATAATAGTAAAAATAATACCAATACTCAAAAACGAAAGGAAAAATTATATAAAACCCTTGGTTAACCTTAACAACTGTGGTGAGGAGGATTGATCGATTGAGTTCTTACATTTGCAGTCTCCCGTTGCTGCAAGCGTGGGTCACCAGTCACCATTGAATAGTGCAAGAGAAGACTAGGCCACTCAATGGCGGAAGCTAGAGTTAGCCGCTCCTCACTAGTCTATCTTCGCTAAATGTTTGTTCGAGTCTCAAATGTAGGGTCTTTGTCTTTAATACTCCCTTGGTCCAAGTTGAAGCTTCTCGTTTTGACTTGGCATGGGTTTTAATGTTAGGCGAAAAAGATGAAGAGTTTCCACTTTTGCCCTTCACCACAGCTCACGTCTCCTTCGTCCAACTTGCCCAACTCCATCCTCACAAATCAATCAAAAATCAAAATAAACCAGCCCAACACCATCGCCACAACTCAAGTCTCCTCCATCATAACCTGCTCATATATGACGTCTCCTTCACAATCAAAATCAAAACCAAGAAATTAAAATGAAAATTGAAAACCAGATCTAAAAATTGAAAACCAGGTCTTCGTCACCCCTCTTTTGCTGTTGCATCTTCGTCGTTTCCGTCACTTCTCTTCGCCGCCACCCCTTGGGGGGGTTGTTGGATGGAGAAGAAGAAGAAGAGAGAGAGAGGGGGGGTCAAACACAGCAGCAGCAGCAGGAAAAGAGAAGAAGAATGAAGAAGATGAAGAGAAGGAGAAGAAAGAAAAAGAGAAGGGGGTTCGACTTCCAAGTGAAAAACAAAAAGAGAAGAGGATTTGAGTCGGAGGGAGATAGAATACAAAAGGGTAAAAAGATAACTTTAGGTGTATTTTTTCCCATTTTAGGAAAATGGGAAGAATCAAATGGGACAGATCGAAAAGGAAAGTGAGAAGAAAGATATGGAACTGAGAGAGTATAATGAAATTGACCAAAGAAAAAAAGTTGGCTTAGGTCTGCCATTGCTGTGAGGGAAGAATGCATGGGCACCAAGTCATCGACTAATCACTAATCAACGCCAGACGCCAAGAGAAGATATGGCAAGGCAAATGAAAATATTGACGCCAAGTTGTCGCCGAGGCAATGCTGCGATAATCATGAGATTTTTTCCCAAAAAGTATCTTAGGGGAGAAATTCTAAAGTTTATTATACAACCACTAGTATAAAATTCAAATATAATAAACTAAAGGTTCAAAGTTCAAGGGTAATATTTTATATATAAAAAGAACACAAAATTATAATAAAAATACCTGGGACAAGGTTTGGGAAGAGACTAGAGAAAAAGCAGAGAGGAGATTAGTAATCGTTGATAATGAAAACTTTTTTATTTATTTGTTGGTTTAAAATATTGACACCAAGTTGTTGCCTAGGCAATGCTGCGATAATCATGAGATCTTTTTGCAAAAAAGTATCTTAGGGGGGGAGCTCTAAAGTTTATTAAACAACCAGTAGTTAAAAATTCAAATATAATAAACTAAAGGTTCAAAGTTCAAGGGTAATATTTTATATATATAAAAAGAACACAAAATTATAATCAAAATACCTGGGAGAAGACTTTGGGAAGAGACTAGAGAAAAAGCAGAGAAGAGATAAGTAATCGTTGATAATGGAGACTTTTTTTATTTGTTCGTTTAACTAAATTTAGCATATTTAACATCACAATAGAAATATAGAATTCCAACTTTGTTGGGGTCTGGGGGTCAAGATGAATGCAGTCTAACTCCTATAAAAACAGAGAAGTTATTTTCATTAGACCCTACGTGCATTATTGCATTTATTGCCCAAAACATCACAGAAAGTAAAAGAACGGACAGTTTAACTGTCCATTTTGATTTAATCGATTATGTGCCCAAAACTATGACATGTTCAATAATGACTCTTTTAGCTCCATTGCCAATGGACGGCAAACATTACAAATAATGAAAGTTAATTTTTACGTCCAAATAGCATTCTTGTGGAACAGAAATCAGTTTCCAGATAGCAGTTTGTTTATGTACTGAGCTTATTGTTGTGAAATTGTTATGACCTCATTCCTGTTGAATTGTGTAATGAATACTTTATGGTGTAATGAATACTTTATTACACTATTTATGGTGATTTTAATGAATATTTGTAATTATTTTAATTGTATTCAAAGATTACACCTCGTTACGGAACGAGGCCAATGCAATAGGCAAAGCAGGCAAGCAATACACATTTTTGAAAATCAATCCAGATCACATGTTTTCTTTTTTAAAAAAATTGAAGAGGCATTCGATCACTCACCCTAATGTGCCTTAGACGTTGTAACTCATCTGACCCAAGTTTTTGTGTTTCAGCCTGCATAGATTCATAAAGTGAGGGTAGGAATGATAGCATATTCAGAAAGTCAGGCAGGTAGCAAAGAATCAACCTTTAGTCTCTGGTCCATGCTATGTCTGGCACAGTAAGCTTTGTGCAGCAGCTTCCCACCCACTGTTTTTACAGTCATGAATAAGCCTGCACTCCTAGCACAATAAGGATGGAAGGTGCTCCGACAGTGACCATGGCTACACTACATTATAAAGAGCAAAACGGGGGGTGAAATAACAATGAAAAATAAAACTAAGAAAATGAATTACCTAAATTGACAACCATAATAATTCAAAATAAATACATATACATAGATCCTATAGAAAGCTACAAAGATTTTTACCTTGATGCATACACCATGTTTACGCTGGCAAATTAGGCAAACATCGTTCCCCTTGTGCCCTAATGCCTGCAATTGACACGAAGTTGTAAACCATTATAAGAATATTTGAGATCCCCTTAAACTAATAAAGAAAATTATAATTTTTTTATCACTAATAACTCTTAGAATGTTGTGTTTGTTCATGCATACTTTCTCAGCCTATTAAAGGGCAGAGAGTTCCCGTCCCCACTGGGGTTCGAACCTGTGACCTCCCATTTGGAAGAGTCACATTGATGCCACTGGACCACAAGGTCTTTGGCAAAGAAAAACTCCTTAGAAAGCTTAAGTTATAAATAACATTTTATAATTACTAAATATATAAACTCTTTCCAGAAGTGCACATACCATTCCATCAATTGAATCCACTTGCCCCATTCTAACTTTAGAACCCAACACCCACTGCCATATGTACCAAACAAAACGACGTTAAGAAAGAGGGTGAGAAAGAAAAAAAATGTAGGGAACTAAAGGATTTAAAAACATACTTCAACACATAGAGCATGCACCCATTGACCATCAGTTGACTTTCTAAAAGCACCGGTAGTACCACCACATAGCCCACATTCTGCAAGAAAATATGGTTTCTCCTTCTCCCCTAAATCAGCTGCTGGAGTTCCCAATCCCCCACGCGACGATCTATCATCACATAGTTCACAATGCCATGAGCCCGCTGACTTTCTGACACTGCAATAGCAGTCCAAGTGCACAGAAACCTGATGATAAAAAATACTGAGTAGATTAAACCTCACAAGCGAAAGGTATGTACATTATCACAATAAGTAACAACACCAAGTGGTATCTAGGTCATAGTACCTTACATCCAGAACAAACAAGTATCGAATTTAGAATTGTCTCAGGCCGTCCACAAACGTCACAAGTTCTAGGATGGTCTTTGGAAAAATCTGAGCCCGGCTGGAGGGATTCAGATATCCTTTCAGATGAGACCTGCACACAACTTGACCTAGATAGCGAGTCTTTTGGATGAGGATTCTGCTGGGACATATGATTGGAAGTAGTAAACTTTGATGTGTCCTGCATGAAAATAATTAATAACTTCAACTTGTTAAGATTATGACAACAACAAAACTTTGAAAGCAATGAATTTGAAGGTGATTCCATATTCACAAGCAGAACTATGACCTCCTGATGCATGGACTCTTCAAGATTATCTTTCCTCAATGATGACATTCTAGAAGAAGCGGCAGCAGCAGCAGTTGCAGCAGCCAAAACAGCCTGAGCTTCTTTGTGCCGTCGTTCTTTCCTTCCCTGTTTTTTTGCCTCTCTAAGTTCATAAAGATATTTGGTAACTAAAACAGTGTCCCATTCTTGCTTTCTAGCAGCATCCATCTCTGCTTGGAGACTTCTTGCAACTTTTCCGATCAAAGTATCTGCAGAACCATATAGCCAATATCATTAGTTGTGGATGAAAACAAGTTGCAGACAAGAATTACAAGTAGTGACTAATGATGCACTCATACATTATTCTGAAACTCTTAAGTCAAAAAAGGAAACAATCCAGAAATGTGTACTGAACTAATTCCACAAGGACAAAGAAGAGACCAGCGATGGATTTCATTCAACAGCATCAGACAATAAAGCCATTATCACTAAATGTGGATGCAAACACAAGAATTACGTGTAGTAACCAAAACTGCACAGTTATACATTATACTGAAACTCTTATGTCAAAAGTGAAATGATACAGAAATAAATGTGTACTAAACTAATTCCACAAGGACAAAGAAGAGACCAGTGAAGGATTTTTTTTCTGCAGCATCAGCCAATAGCTTGTGCTGGTAAAAAACAATCTCTCCTTCCACTTCATCCATGGGTGACATTTTTGAGAGACCCATATTCCCTGATTTGGCAAAGTGTTCTAGACTTGTCCCGTTGTATTTGTAAGCCATATCACCAGAAATTGACAATCTATTTTCATCATTGCAACAGATCCCAGAACTAAAGGAAGCTTCAGACCGAAATAATCCTCCTTGTCCCGATCCTACCAAGCATAATCATAAGTGCACAAAATCAAAGAAATCATTTCTGGCACTCAAATCATTAGACTATTTCAAACATAATTTTACCATCAAATTCATGTGTAGCACTTTCAGAACTGATTGCTTCTCCCAAGTCATTTAATTTTTGTACAATAAGCGGGTGAATGTAAAGTGCACATTTTTCAAGATTCCTGAATGAACATAAAGTGTTCAGTGAAGCAAAACAAATTTAAACTATAGCTTAGACATATTATGATGTCAAAAACTCACATGGCATCAGCTACACTGTTCAGAGAAATAGATCTCGACATCCTTGCATCAACATTCAGGACAGCACTTTGATTCATAGTTGTGCCCTCATAAGAATGCCCATTGACCAGAGCAGTTGATTGCACAACTGCCAAGCACATTTCAAATTTCAGAAAGACCAAAAATGAAAAAGAATGGAGTAACTTTCCCACGTCATAGTCAATGAAATGAGGATCTAATTTTACTTTAGAGAAACATTCAGACATGCATAACATAGGAAAGTACTACCAGCTACTAAGTAAATAACTAAAAATCTGCTAATCAAGTAAATTTTCAACAAATACTAAAAAATGCATCAATCCCATGAATTAATAACCAACTGACTTGTAAAAAAAATCGTATCGGCATAACTAACTGAACTAATGGAGATAGCTAAAAACAAAGAACATACAATGAGAAGGGTTTACAAACAAGTATTTTCTTTCAGAATTTACTCTGCATGTACTCATTTGCAGTCTTAATAAACAAATAGGTTACAAAAATCCATTAACAACAACCTCAGTACAATCCTAACTGTGTTGGATCTGGGAGTCAGATATACTCATTGCCCCAATAAAAATGGGAGTGGTTGTTTCCATTAGACCCTTGATGCATTGCTGCATTCATTGCCCAAAAGGAAATCATAGAAAGTAAGAAAATACAGATCACTTTTGTAAAATGTCCAGCACTAGTGATAATCACAATGGAAAAATGAGGTTTCCAATTAGTTGGATTTTCAGTGAGTACCATACATTCATTTCAAGCACAAGATAACAACAAAAACAAGAAAAATGCACACATGGCAACAGCAAGAAACAATTGTGATGGTAAAGAATGAAGGCAACATATATATATATATATATATATGGAAATGGAAGATCAACATTCTCCTAGATGTTAGCTTTTTAATCCTTTCTGTAAGACTTCCCGGCATATATAATATCCATGATGTGCACGTGAATTTCTGTTAGCAATCTTGTAATGGGACCCGGCTATAGAAACCATATATAATCCTCACCATCTCATACTCTCATAGTCTCATGATATTATTGATGAGTGGAAAACTTTATGGTGATGACTGATTTAGTGGTTATTCATCTCATCAATCCAGAACCCAGCAAAAAACTTAACCACTATGCATTTTTGAAGGAATCAACTCCCTACATCCCATATTTAAGTTATCAGTTTCTTCTATGGTCCTCCCAAGATAAAGTTCACATTCCTTTTAAAGAATTGTGTGGTTCATATTATTTATCTATCGTCATTATAAATCCCAACCACACAAATTCCCCTTCTCTCAAACTCCTTGAAAAAGCAAATGAGAACTTACACGGCATGAAGGGAGTACACTCCATCCGTGATCCGTCCAATGTTTTTCTTACCATTTTCCTTGATGGGATGTCCAAAAAATTTCTCCCTATTACCTTTTTCGTAAATATTATATTCACCCTTACAACTAACAATTAATTTCACCCCAAATTCATGTATTCCCCTCCAGTCCCACCCCACGCCATCTCCTTCCAATACACTCTTTCTTTACCCACCGAACACCAGTTGGTTGTGCTCCGTCTTCTTCCTCTTATAACTTTCATTTTTGTCATCCTCTGAACTTGAGAGCCACACCTCCGTCTTCTTCCATTTCCAACTTTTTTCCTCATTCTAGCCATGTACCTCCATCACCACCTTGGCACCTCCAGCCTCCAAGTTGCTACCAAATGAAGCATCTCCAGTCAGCATGTCAAAGTGTCAAACGGTCAAATCGGCTCTTCTGCCGCCATTGAATGCTCAGACCTGCTCATTCACTGCCAACATCGCTGTCATCTTGCCTTCCTCACTGCTGCCACCTTGCCTTGTCGGTCACTGCCAAGATCTGTTTTGCGGATACCTTGCCTTCCTTGCCACTACCACCTTGCTTCCGCCAGCAAGAATGGAATATTTTGATTTATTGGATGTGGGAGTATTAACGAACTCTGGTCTATGTCTTCTCAAGAAACATAAGTGGGCATAGTGTGGAGGGGTATTTTAGGATAATCAATAACATTTTATCTTGAATAAATCTGTGTGCCCCATCAAACCGGGAAGATAATTTATGGACAGAGGGAGTAATTCTAAACTGGCAGTATAAGCTTCATGCCACCAGCCCCACATAATTGGGGTTAAGGAGATGATAATAACTAATGATAAATGAAGGGAAAGCCTGTTGTCACAATCTGTTTGCTATTTTAAAAAGTACTTCAAGTAAATGTACAACATTCACAAAAAAAGATGCAGATGATGAGAGAGCATCTCACTCACATCCAGACTAAACGAGTAATGAAATAAGCACACCTTCATCTTTGTGTGGCTTGTTGGCAGGGGTATCTGATGATGCACAGACAAAAGCAATCTGCATAAAGCAGGATTATAAATTATTTGATTATTTGAAGATAAAAAGGTCACAGTGACCCAATATGGTAACCAATAATCACACAGGTGCAGCGGAAAACAATAAACAATTTGCATAATGGAACTTTCTCCAGAGCACATAAGAGACTGATAAATTAAGACAAGTGTATTTAAGAATGGATGGGGGGTTTAATATTTAACAAGGCAAGGAACACATTAAGTAAACATCGACTTATATAAAAAATCTACAGTTACTACTCCCTATGCTCCTGTGTAATTGTCTATATTTGACTTTCCATGGAAGTCAAGGAAATGAAATTATTTGGTTGAATTTCTTTAAAAATGAAAGATAAATATGAAGTAATCAGAATAAACTGTGTATCCAATTAAGGACGTGCAAAGAAATGCATCTCTTTAACTAGAAGTCTATGAGAGCTTTAACAAATATCTGAGTTGTACAAATAAGATGTCTACAGAATAAGCTTAGAAGTAAGTCAAAAACATGCCTTTGGAATATTGGAACATAGAGGGTCTCTTGTCAAACTTGAATCTAGGTCACCAAGCTGATGAGTTTTGACTTCATCACACCTTTTGACATCCTTAACAGTCACAATATTGTTTTTGGTTCGTCTATGAGGTGCAACAGTCTTAAAAGGAATGGTAGCAGAAGTTACAGGTTCTGTTACTTTAGCAGAATCAGTGTTATCTGGAAAACCAATCCCAGTCTTTGTAGCAGATGTTGGTTTGATTTTAAGTCTCAAAGTCTTCGGCACATTCCCTGTGGTGGAACGAGTCCTGAGCCACTTAGCCACTTTGCAATGCAGATCACTGACGATGCAATCATCCTGCCAAGGTAAGGTTAAAGGCAAACATGAAACTTAAAATGTATCATCTTTGTGAAAGAAACTTTAACAGGTCATCTTATTCAAATAATTAGCTTGAACTCCCTTCATCCCAAAATAAACAACACGCTTTCTTTTCTGGCCTGTATCAAAAAAAGTCCTTTAATAAGGAATAAAGAGCCATCATTATTTCTATCTTTCAAATCAATTCAAAGCACATGCCTTTCAATATTCAACACTTTATTTTAAATTATGAGTGGTGAAATTGAACTTTTAATTTGGGACAGAGGAAGTATAAGATCAAGTCATATTCAAGCACAGTTAATTGAAGAAAATTACATTGAGCATTGAGGCCAATGAATCAGAGGAAACACCCATCTCTGAAGCTAGATAATCCACATCAACTTTTCCCCGATCAATTAACTACACAAAAAGGACCAATTAAACAAAAACTTAGAGTGCTTAGTGATTGAACCCGCACAACAAGTTCTTAAAATAAAGTAAGGAGAATACTAAAATTGATTTGCAATGTACCTTCTTCAACCTAATGGTAACAATCGAAGGATCAGTGGCATTGCCATCTTCATTTATGCCTACATCCGATAAATCCTTACAAATATGGGGCACTGTGTCACCATGGCCAGTTCGACATTTGAAATTTGATACACTACTCAACATCCTTTCTTCATGAGGCGCATCACTATTCAATTTTTCTTGATCCAAGTCTGTATCTTTGATTTCGCTTGTCCCATTATCACCATTACGTTGGGTAAGTTTTAATTTTTTAGGTTTATTTGTTGTTGACACAGTCATTTGAGTGGTATCATTGGAACAAGAAACACCGGGTAGGCGTACAGATTTGTCACCATTTTGCTCAAACTTACCATTCGTGTGGACATCAGAATGCTTTGAGCAAAATGCACGCAACTCCACCTAGAAGGATTAGGTACCAATCAGAAAAAATAGTTTTTTGCAAATAGAAATACAACATGATGCACTACCATAAAAGAAAGAGGACTATGTAATAGTAGCAATGGAAATGTTCCAATATTTTAAATAAGGGCTCACATCTTCACAACCCAGTTTTCCCCAGATTTCCATTCTGTGGCGTGCCTCCCTTGCACATATAGGATGAAAAGATGTTCTGCAAGCTCCTAGCCATACAATGAAAGGGTTAAAGATGAAAAGACCAACAATCCTAAAAAAAAATATTGAACTGGAACTCCATTACTGCAACTCTGGCTAGAATATATATCTTTCCAAAAACGATATATGGAGCAGCACATATCTGATAAACAATAATTACTAGCTTTAAGTGAAGCAATGCACAAACAAATATCAAAACTAAGTTAAGTAAATGTGAACAAAATGTGGCATTCAGGTATGCACAATTGGTTTGTGCAGCGTTAAAGCCATTGTATCAATGAAGTGGTTAATTTGATCACTTTACAGTTATAAAGGTGGCATTTAATGAAAATAACAAACATTGTATTTGCTTGTGTAGCAGAATGTAGTTCACTAGCAATCTAGCATGGATGCCATGTCACTTTTCAATCCACCCGAACACCACTATCATCATCATCATCATCATAGGTAACACTTTAAATCCATGCAGAAAATTAAAATAAAATTGCAATGTGAACAAAAAGCTTTGAAAGGTGTTGATACACTAAGCTAAGTTAGCAAGCTCAAAAAGCAGTTGGTCAAGGATACTCTCACAAGTCTAAGGATTTGTAACTCTGTCTAGGTTGATCAGTAAAAATTAGAGCCACTCATAACTTCATAAGACCTAGTGACTACCAGAGAATGCTCGTTATAATTTATTGCAAATTGCAAAAACAGCACAACACAAAACGCGAAAATCTTTTGTGGGTTAACAGGTGACAATTGTTTTTTTATGTTTTTAGCAATGTGGCACAAGCAGTATTAACCAACAGGCTTCGCAAACTTACTTCTGCTGTGCCACTAAAAAGTCATTTACTAGCAATCCGCAATCACAAACACGAATGATTTTCAAACAAGGAAGAACCAAAAAGGGAAAGATGATCCTAATCTTCCCCTAGTAAGATTGGATCTCAAAAGAAACTGCTACACCAACTCCATATGTAATTGAGATGACAGAATTTCTTTTAGGGAAGGATGGGCAATATATTTAGGACTTAGGAGCCGAGCAAACACAAGTGTATCCACGCTAATTATTCATCTAAACAACAACAACAACAACAACCCAGTTGAATCCCACTATAGTAGGGTCTGGGGAGGGTGTGTGTAAGCAGACCTTGCCCCTACTCGAAAGTAGGGAGGCTGTTTCCAAGAGTAATTATTCATCTAAAACTCATTCAAATTGATAACTCATGCAAGCAAACCACGCAACAAAGAAATGCAAATTTTAAGTATCTATGTATAAAAAAGTTGCAAGGCATACCATTACTACACCGCACACAGGCCCCATATTTCACCTTACACAAGTAACAAATTAACTTCCTTCGAGTTTCTTTAATGCCATCAATGTTCACTACAGGTTCCATCGTCCTCGTGTCCTCGACATAAACCTCAGGTATCCACTGACAACAAAACAGGTGAGCAAACTCAGCAGCAAAATGCTCCTGACATCCCTGACCCCCTATTCGAGAAGGTTTCAGTGCTCCACCTTTCTTGGGACAAAGAAGGCATTGTTTCTCACTACTTAGTATTTGATTCTTTTGTTTGCACCAGGAACATATCCAAGATCCATCAACATCATCCTGCACCCCGTAACATCTCTGATGAACAGCCATTCTACATGAACCACAAACAATCAAGCGGTTCAAAGTATCACCCATGTCACCACCACTGCAATAGTGACACAGAGAAGTTGACCCTTCTACTGGCTGAGCAACAAGAAGTTTCTCCAACCCAGCTTCCCCACCCAATAGCTTTCGTTTCTTATTGGGTCTCTCTGTGGTGAGATATATCTTTGTCCTAGAACCTAGAAGCCACTCTATGCTACTAAAAGGAAGACGAACCTTCTCTAATTTTATTATAGGTTTAGGTGATTCTGCAGTCCCTGCGCTACCACCATCCATTAGTTGCTCCTCATTTTCTTCAGGTACATGATCTTTTTTATCTGATACCTCACTATTTGAAGCAACGGGATTGGGAATCGCTACACTTGCATCAACATTACCCACTTTGTTAAATGAAGGTATTGAAAAGAACTTCTCGTTCTTAGAAGGTTGGAAAGAAGGAAGCTGGCAAAGTCTTTCTACATCATTCACAGTTAACTCTCGAAGGTAATCTTCCATCTCGGCCCAAAAGCCAGAGCCACGAGCCTTTTTTTGCCGCGAAGACTTGGTTTCAGAACCCAGATGAGACTTCTTCTGCCTCTTCCTACTGTCAGAGTGCTTCCACAGCAGCTGAGCCAGTCCTCTAGGGAGTGTAGGCGGGGCTGTAGACGGCTGTGGGTCCTCCAAATCGAAAGGAGACCGCTTGCAGAGCGCCTTACAAGCCTGCGTGTAATAATCCATCCCGGCTTCCGAAGGCAGGGGCGGTTTCATAATTACCTCGAAACAGGAGGACTTGTAAACCAATTTCACCAATAAAATTCCACGCACCGGATTAGGGCTAGGTTTTCTCCAAACACGCCGCGGCGCATCTCCTCCTCCTCCACCACCGACGCCGCCGCCGCAATACCAAATCCAGGCGTAACCCTAGCCAACAGTTTCACCGACGAACAAACAAAAATCAGTATATACGTACAAATACAAAAAAAAACAATAAATATCCCGCTTTTGGCGTACGTGTATGAGCGGAGGAGAGATGAGATATTTCCAGAAGAGAGAGAAGAGAGAGAGGATTGTTTTTGTTGTTCTGATGGGTTTTCTGGCCGTTCGATTTCACGAAGAGAGAGAGAGAGAGAGAGAGAGGCGTTATATGAAAGGAAGCAGTCGAGAACGCGGTCGGGGGTGGTTGGAGAGAGAAAAAGAGAGATTGGGGAAATTCGGCAACGGCCTAATTTTGTTCTCCGAATTATCTCGACCGTTACTTTAAATCGGCAGTCGTGTTCCCTGCGGGGACCACTATTCATTCATTATTTGCTCCATCATCCGCAAGCGGCTTTTAAGACAACTCATGCAGCCTCGGTGGTGGGACACAATCACACAATATTCTAACTTATTGTTTGGAGGACCATGTTAGGGTGCCACCACATGGATGCTACCATGGGTGCACCCATGTTTCGCACAAACAAACACAGATAATAATTGTCCGTGTCGCACAAAAAATTATCGTCTGTGTTTGTCTCTGCGAAGCATGAGTGCACCCATGGTAGCACCCATGTGGTGGCACTCTAGCATTTTCATGTAGAAAATCATCTCTCAAAAAAGAAATATTTTTGGGAAGTCAATTTTTTTCATTTTTAGTAGAGCTGGCAAATCGGTCGGTCAGGTCGGGTTCAGATTCGGTCGCTTTGAATTTAGGTCATTTCGGGTTCGGGTCAATTCGGGTTCGGGTTGAGAACTGTATGTTCATAACCCAGTGTCATCGAGTTCGGGTCGACCCAACGAGTTATGACTTTGATTTTAAAAATTTTTAAATTCACATTAATACTTACATTTTCTATTAAATAAATTTAAAATATCAAAAAATATGTATTGAATCTATTATATTATTCTATTTTAAATCCTGAAATTTTTTTTAGATATATAAATCAACATAAAATATTTAAAACATGTTTAAATTTTAGAAAAAAAGTAAGATAATTATGTAATATCATTAAAATTTTGTCTGAAAATATGAATTTATACATTAAAACGAGTAGTAAAGTGTATGATTTTGAAAAACTCTTACTTTAGCAGGTTGCTCATGTCGGGTTTGACCCTTTTTAGCGGGTCATTTTGGGTTCGGTCAACTTCAGGTTCGGTTATCAAAACCTTTGTTCAAAATCCAGTGTTTTCAGATCGGGTTTCGAGACAAAAACAGGTCGAGTCATTTTTTGTCAGGTCTAATTTTTAGTTTATGATATTTTTAGTTTATGATATTTGGGAGAATTAGAAAATTAAAACCTAGACAATGAAATACTGGGCGATTGGAACAGAAGTGGTGGAGTCCTAGAGGCGTTGTGCGATGGCTACAGTGAAGAGGTGGTGCCGGAGCCCAGAAGGAGCGGAGGTGGCGCCGCCCTAAAAGAAGAAGGCGTGTTATAAGTAGAATTGACAGTTGATTGAAGAGGAGATTGAAGTTGAAGATTGATGATGAAGAATCCGCATAAGTAGGCGTAAGCAAGTGTCGAACAGATCACGAAATTTCCCATACAAAAACTAAAATCTCAAATTGAAAAATGTTGAACAAAAAAAAAGGTGGCTCATTATAAGTCAGTTTGACAATTGAATATTGAAGAGAAGATTGAAGTTGAAGATTAAGCTTGCGTACCGTTCGCGTGACTGATCTAATTTTTGTAGTTTTAGTCTGATCCGATCTAATCTGATTGGATTTGATCGGATCTGATCTGATTGGATATAATCTTATCTCATTTGGTCTGATCTAATCTGATTGGATCTGATCTAATATAAATTTGATTTAAATTGAAATTAAAATTATTGTTATAATAGTTATAATAATAATAATAATAGAAATAATAATAATAATAATAGTAATAATAATAATAGAAATAATAATAATACTAACTATAATAATAGAAATAATAATACTAACAATAATAATATTAATAATAGAAATAATAATAATAATAATAAGAATAATAATAATACTAACTATAATAATAATAATAGAAATAATAATAATACTAATAATAATAATAATAACTATAATAATAATAATAGAAATAATAATAAGACTAACTATAAGAACAATAACTACAATAACTATAATAATAATAGTAATAATAATAGAAATCATAATAATAATAATCCACCAAATGCATCAAATCAACCCGAGTAGGGAATACTGACAAGCTCACGATCAACCTCTGAGTAACATCTAGTCTACCACACTTACAAGACGACAAGATAGCTCGAAGCGGTAGCACTACGGCAACCACATCATCTTATTCGTATCGTATTCATCACTCTTGTTATAGGCCTTATGGTAGTAACTAATTCATCGTTCACACAAATCCTCCCTAAATGAACATTCTTTTACCATACACGGTCAACCCAATGGTTGAACGACATCGATCTTAGTAGCCTCCCATCATGTACGAGGGACTAACCCCGACACGATCTCTTCATAAACATTTGCAAATCATGCAATTAGTTGGCACCTTCCGTAAAGGAAACCATGACAACATAAAATCATCAACCGTGCAAGAATCTAAAAAGTGAGTGATAACTCAATCAACATTTCAAATCATTAAGAATGTTGGACCGAGGTTCCACCTTGTCATACACGTGTATGCTTATCATGTCCAATCTGTTGTGTTCTTGACCGGTTGGTATTGCTAGTCCTCCAAGTTCTTTATTAATTCTTTGACTTTGAATCAGTTGTTTTTCCTATAAAAATAATATATACAACATTTTGACCAGCTAATGTTGTGCTCAAACATAATAGTTATTTTTTCGAGGAGCTTAGTGCTAGAATAGATAAAACACGTGTGAATAATCTTTGTAACGGGGGCGATATTTAGTTCGATATGAAACAATGCTCTAAATAGTTATTTCAATGAGACCGGGGTGGGTACAATGAAGTGAGAGTGTCTCAAATAGTTATTTCATCGGGGTTGAGGTTAATACGAGTGAAACCAACGATGTATAACGACATTGACGCATCAAAGAGACTGATAATTAGTCAATACAAATTAAATTTGTTGTGACAGCTCTACCGAATATTGATATTAGCCCGGCTAACTGACGCAAGTATCACTACTACAAAATTGCACATATGGACTGATCCAATTGAAGCGGTTCGTAACAAACAGATGCAGAATGCTGAAATTCGCGTACCGATTATACTTTTTGCATCAGTTATTTAAAAAATCGATGCCAAAGGTCATTTATTTTTGTTATAATTTTTTGGAGGGACCTTTTCCATCAATTTTTTAAAAACAATGGTTCAAAAAGTCTTTTCCATCGATTATTTAAAAAACTGATTCAAAATCCCCTTAATTTTTTTAATTTTTTTTTAGAAAGAGCGTTTGCATCGGTCTTTTAAAATTACCAATGCAAAAGCTCCTTTAATTTTTTTTAATTTTGTTGAGAATGGGCTTTTGCATCGGTTGTTTTGAAACAACAGATGCAAAAGACTTTTTACATCAGTTGTTTTGAAACAACTGATGCAAAAGGTCTTCCCAAAATTATGCGTGTTTTTATAAAAGCAAAACCACAATCCACGTCAACAAAACCATAATCCGGGTTAACATACATACGACCGCCGATTCTCACTTCATCAACGAATCCAAAGTTCGATGCATCAAATACTCACAACCACGATCATCACCCACTTCAAATTAAATCTTCATCTGACAACATCCACAAGATTACGAAGCCGTCCATCCACTGTCTTGCTCCATTCACCGTCTTGCTCCATCCATTGCCTCGCTTACCTTGGAGGAGCTAGTGAAGTGCATCTTCGGTCTCATCTACGAGGTGACTTGAGCCGACCTCAAGATCTTCATAAAGATTGTGATTTGCGACGTCGTCACCTACTATACACCAAGCGCGCTCGTAGGAAGAGTGTCACTCTCACAGACGTTGTCAAGCGAGAAGGTCGCACGTTGTGTAACACCCTAATGTTGGAACACACTTTGTACGTTAAACTAAAGTCGTGTTCATTTCTGACAGGTTTTGATAATTGCCAAACCACCGTGGATATGAAGAATTTCGTTGAATAACTCAAGGCGTGAAGAATGGCTTGGAACAAGACCTAAAAGACTCAAGGACAAGATCAAGAATTGAAGACTTAGTCGAGTCGGTCTTTTGTGATCAAAACCGACAATTTATTCAAGTCTCGGTTCTCAAAAAGTCAAAACATTTTTTTGTGCATCAAAACAAACATTTTTGATGACTTCTTTTAGTGTTAAAAATCCTTGGTCCTTGCTCAAAACCAAAACCACCTAAGTCGGCGTTCGGCTTTCGGCTTTCGATGTTCGGTTTTTGGCACCCGAACGAACTCCGTGGTTTTTATCTCTGAGCATATTTTAAAGGTTCCCGAATAATTATTTTATAAAAACCACTTTTGTATCTTGGTCAATCGGTCTAACACGTGAAAAACGGTCAAAACCGTACGCACGTGATTTACGACCTTGAGGACTTGGTTTTTACCAAACAAGTCTTGTTTTCACTATTTTATACCATATACAATGTTTTTTCATACTTGGTTTTTACTTTTGGGAACACTTCATTTTGGGACCTCGGTTTTTCAAAACGGGTTTCAGCTGGCTAGACTTTAGCTGGGTGATAATCGATTATCACCTTAGTGACAATCGACTATCAGCCACTGCAGCTTTGAACTCCCATGTTCTGAAGCACGCAATAATCGATTATCAGCTTTGCAATAATCGATTATCAGCCTTGCAGCCAAAACCCAGAATCTTCAAAGAGGACCAATAATCGATTATCACTTATTGACAATCGATTATCTGGGTTACCGTTGTCCTCCAACGGATAGAATTTTAAATTTTTGGACAGGGAATCTTTGGATAATCGATTATCATGGTTTGACAATCGACTATCAGCCTGTGTCCTTGAAA